ATGTTATGATTCAAAATGGTTTGTATTTATTTATTGATGGTAATAACATTAGTGGTTTATTAGCTTTGTGTTTTGATGTGCTAAAATGACACTTATGTGTTTTGGAATTATGACGACAGATGCTTGTTACAGATAATAACTTGAGGCGAGGTGACGGGCATTAGCGATCCCGCGGGCTACCATCATCCCGAGTGCTCCAGGGAGAAGTCGCCGTTCCTTCTTCTCCGGCTTGCCTTAATTGGCTGGCTGGAGTGAACGATGACAAGGAACAGGTCTCCCACCTCTGGCTTGCCTTCATTGGCCGTCCAGAGTGGAGTCGCGAGAGCAGTGATCCTGCTCGGAGGGTAAGAAACTATTCGTAAGTCGCGAGTGGGCCAGGGATGCAGGAAGCTTCGGCTGGAGCAGATGATCTGAGTAGAAAGCGGTGGTAGTTTCTTAACCCTTCAGCCACTTACATTCTCGTTGCCCCTCTGTTGCTATATCTAGCAACCATTCCCGGGGCCCGGTCGGTGAGTTGGCGAGTCTCCGCCTGCCATTTTTACGTGTAATAATTACATTGTTTCGGCAGGTGCCATAGTCATCCATAGTTCCCAATTTTCCAGTCCACAGCAACCCATCCATAGCCCTATCTTTTTTTTCCATTATCCTCAATAGTTTTACACTAACCGGAGACTGTCCTTGGGTGCATTTCCATAGTGCATACAGGGATAGTCGCCGGTTTGTGTGTCCATTACATTTATATTAAAGTTGTCTAAAGGGCCTCTGCGCAGTTGGCTTCGGCCCCTCGCATGCCTCCCAAATGACCGGGACCCTGTGGTCCCGTGAATGGTAAAGACATACAATAATAATAATATTCTTTATTGTACACCACATAAACATAAAGGACAACAAACAATTGATATAGTGCACAATGGGCGGTCTTATCGCACAAGGCGATCTCTTCCAGACAACCTTTGGATGGAGCTGTAATAGGAGACAGATATGGGTCGTCTAGTGTACAATTTAATGACTTTAAAATAATAATAATAATGTGTAAACCATAATATGTATATAAAATATATATATATATATATATATAATAAATAAATATATATTATATGCCTACATAAATGTAATAATACCTACAAATCAAACTAAAAGTTGTAATAAATAAATAACTAAATAAATAAGAATAAAATAGAACATAATACATAATTTAACATAATGTGTGTAAGTGTGCGTGTGTGCGTTTATGCATGTATGTGTACGTGTGTTACCATGTTAAGTAAAAGACAAAAAACTATAGTTAGATAAAATTCCTTAACTAGTTTTTTAAATTGTGATATAGTTTGAGCTCGCCTCACTGTAATCGGTAGAGCATTCCACAACCGTGCAGCTTGTACTGTATAGGACTTGTCGAAAAAGGTAGTGGAATGCAAACAGATGTTTAATTTCAGCTCTCCGATGATCTCAAAAACTTCGTATGTGTGTTGCCAAGGTACGTAAAACGCTCTTTTAGATAAAAAGGGGTAGTGGGATTAAAGAGTATATTGTATAGAAGTGAAAGAATGTGAGTATTCCGGCGAAGGCGAATAGGCAGCCATTTGAGCTTGTTGCGGAACTCGGAGACATGGTCATATTTGCGCAATCCAAATATAAACCTGATAGAAAGGTTTTGAAGGCGCTCAAGCTTGTCTAATTGTTCTTGGGTGAGATCAAGATAGCTGGCATCAGCATAGTCGAGGATTGGTAGAAGTAGGGATTGTGCTAATGCAATTTTAGTAGTAGTGGGCAAGAAATTTCGAAGACGCCTCAAGGAGCCCGCCGCGGCAAACATTCTGCGACTGACCTCCTGCATCTGTTTAGACCAGGAGAGAGTACTGTCAATGTAAATCCCCAAGTTCTTGACTTCGTAGGAAAAAGGAATTTTAGTGTTAAGCAGAGATACTTGGGGAAGAGTAGACCAGTCAATTCTGGAGACAGCCCTTGAACTGCCGACAACCGTCACCTGTGTTTTGGATGGGTTAATGCGCAGGCCATATTTCATGCTCCAATCGCTAATTCGAGCCATGTCGCGGTTAATAGAGCAACAGCATCTGGTAATTCTTGAAGTGAAGCTTGTGTGTAGATCTGCAGATCATCGGCATAGAGGTGGAAGGAAGAAGAGAGTTCTTTAGAGATAGAGTTGATAAATAGGGCGAAGAGTAAAGGGGATAGAACACCACCCTGTGGCACACCAGCAGCAGTACAACACCAAGAAGAATAACGATCGTCAAAGTGAATACGCTGCCGGCGACCAAATAGGTAACTACGAAACCAGTCAATAGCCGATGCTGATACGTTAAGAGAGCTAAGCACGCCAAGCAAAACGTCGAAGTCAACGTATTAAAAGCGTTACTAAATCGAGTAGGACAAGTACCGTCAACTTCCCCATCCATGCCCGACCTAATGTCATCAGTAATATTTACGAGCGCCGTGGTAGTGCTGTGCCCCGGGCGAAAACCAGATTGGTAGGGACTAAGGAGGCTGTGCCTGGTAAGAAAAGAACTAAATTGATGATGCAAGTTTTTCTAGGATTTTAGACAGGAATGGAGAATGGAAATAGGGCGAAAATCGGAAAAAGAAGCAGGATTTGGTTTCTTGGGTAGGGGTATTACATGAGCTTCTTTCCAAATTTGAGGGAAGGCTCTGTTGGAGACCGAGGAATTTAGGACAAAAAGGATGACAGGGGTCGAGAGATAGGGATGATCATCTTGCGACTAACACAGTCACCACCAACGGCATTCGATGTCGTCGACAGAATGCTCTCCTAACGTCACATTCGGCAAATTGACTGAAGACGAATGGAGAAAAATTTGGTAACGGAAGTAGTGAGAGAGAGTTTAAAGTAGCAGTTTTAGTGGCAATCTAAAGTGAGTGGAGGAGAAGTGAGAATTTAGAAAATTTAAATCTAGATCTTTAGGCAAAGAGTTTTGGGTATGTTTTCCAATACCTAATGATTTAAGGAACTTCCACACTTTAGCCGGATCACTATTTTCAACTGATTTGTGAATGTGTTGACGTTTGGCATTTGCACACCTTGTTGCACTGGTTTCTAATTGTCATATATTTTACCCTGTTGCTGTCACTAGGCTGAATCTTGAATTTAAATTTTGCAGCAGCTTTTTTAGCCATCAAGTTTTTTATCTCCTCGTCAACCAAGGTGCTGGGAGATGCTTAACCCTGACGGCCTGACCGGAGCATGCTTGTCATACAGATTTATAAGGGTAGCAGTCAAATTTCCGCCTGATCGTCAACCGACACTGATTCAACCAAGGCGTCCAATCAATGTTAGCAGCATCTCCCGAAGGCGCTCGATATTCATGCCCTCAAAATTGCGAAGAAAGAGAATTTTCGACTTATGCTTGGGTGGACGAATATTAAAGGAAGTATAGATAAGGTCGTGGTATGAGAAGGCATCAGCTGGACACTGTCCATGTTTGACAACGTGGTTCGGAGAGGAAACTAAGATTAGGTCAAGAAGAGAAGGAACTGAATTGGGAAAGTGGTGAGTAGCATTGAGGTCAAGGATAGAAAGATTAGTAGACTTAATTAACCTGGAAAAGGAAGCGGAACGACTGTCATTTTTCAACAAACAAGTATTGAAATCCCCCATAATGATACAGTGATCATATGAGGGTACGAATGTTTCTAGGAGAAGTTCGAAAGAGGAAAAGAAATTGATACGGAGAGAAGGACAGTAATACACGCCAAGAAGAATTTTAGAGCAATGCAACTCGACCTCCAGGAAGAGGTGTTCACCAGCACTCTGAGGAGGAGGCTGCGTGGACATATTCAGGACAGTAAAGGAAATATTGTTGCGGAGATATATGGCCACACCACCCCCACCCCCAACCGCACGGTCATTCCTTATCAAATTAAACCCCGGAAGAGAGTAAGAGGAAGAAGGGAGACAAGGTTTCAGCCACGATTCTGACACCAGAATAGCATGAATATACGCACAGTCGAAAATAGCCAGCATATCAGTGTAATGAGCCGGAATGCTCTGGGCGTTAATGTGGACCACATTGAAGTTCCGAGATGCATCAGAAAACACAGACGCGAGTGTTTCATTTAAGGGCGGCAAACTACAAATACTTTCATCGTCTGAAGTTATTGATAAATACGTATCTGATTCATCGCTGATACTAGAGTTAAACATGGATGTGTAATTTATGTATGTACCTAATAATGTATTGTGGAATAATATATGTATATTATATATATAGAGATATATATATATGTATATCTAATAATAATATAATAATAATAGAATAAAACAAGTACAAAATATAAAACAATAAAATATGTTTAAGGTTGGTGTTCAATTACTGCACTCCACCTGCCAGTTAGCCTGAAAGAAAAATAAATAAAAAAAAGCAAACAACAAAAACAAAAATGTCACGTCATCCCAGCATCTCAACATCACAAATATTAAATAAAAAAAAACAAAAAAAAAAAAACATAGTAGACAAGCAAAATAAAATAAAAAAATAAAAAATAAAGATATAAATAATTAAATATAAACAATCAACATAAAATGTAAAGACTAATAAAATAAGTACATAATATAATGAGTTACAGAAAAAACTATTAACACTACATGTTACAAGCGCATGCGGTACGTGAAACGAAACGCTACTAAGTACCAGTTGTATGAAAATCTATAATAAACATCTATGAAATCTATGGACTACAGTGAACCAAAGAGCAGAGAAAAAAAAAAAAAAAAAAAATATGACCAAAAATAAGTTTATCTACATGACAGTGACGGATGACATGAGTGACAATGACAGTAGTATGAGCTAAGGAATATACATGTAAATAAATAAAATAATACTACTACCGTATCTGAGTACAAGTTAGAAAATTACAAAAAGTTAAAGTGAAGGTGATACGACAGTTAATACCATTTAATAAAAGCAATTAATTTACCCAGACTACCTACAAAAAATCAAGAAAATGTAACTAAAGAAAAATACTTATTTTCGAGATGCTGCACGCCTTGCCTTGGGCACCACTTTTCCAGTAGCTGCAACGACAGGTTCAGCAGCACCTTGCTCAGGTTGTTGGAGAACGATATTATCGAGCTCGTTCCTGGAAGTCAATCGATGTCGAACACCTTTTGAGTCAAGGACAAAGATAATGCCCTCCCTCGTCCAACACTGACTGACGCCGAACTTCGCCCGAGCTTCCATAAAGACGCTGTGTCGGGTCTTTGTCAAAAACTCCGAGATTGTAACACCCGAGCCCTTGCACCTTGTTTTATCACGCCAGATGTTATCGCGGAGAGCCACATCATGCAGCTTGAGCAGGATGGGTCGGGCCTTTTGTGAGGTTCGCCCCATACGGTGGCAACGCTTGATGTCGGTTGGTTTTATATCAAGCTTAAGGCGGTCCTTGATAACTCTTACCACCACTTGCTTAGTGTCTTCCTCCTTTGCATCCGACTCCGACACACCATGCAGAAGAAGTATTTTACGCCGGCTGCGCATCTGCATATCGTCCATGGCCTGCACCATGAAGCTCACTTGCTGTTGGAATACACAGAGAAACTGCATAATAAAGCTCCGGAATGCTACGAACTCTGCTGAGAGCACTGGTGTGGCTTCATTTGCTGCGCCTGCGTTATCTCTCTGCTGCCGCTCGAAGTCAGCCATGCGTTGTTGAAACATGCTGGTCATCTCGGACACTAAACGTGGGACCTCTTCCATGATATCACCAAGTGCAAGTTATGTATCGGGTTAAATGACATATAATGCTTCTGTAACTGGTTGAAAACACTTGGCAGGCAGGTGGCACTGATTACTATTTAATTCAACACATTAAAACAATAGAAATATGAGTGTAATTATTAAAAAATAATTTATAAACCAGAGCTTCACAATTTTAATGTTTACTTGTTGACTACCCGATTTTTTTAGATGATAATTATGGATGCGTAAATAGATTTTTTACGAGCAGATGAGCAATGTCTTTACATTAATTAATCCCGTAATTTCACAATCACATCATACTCAAACTTGAAATAAGAAATAGTAAATTATACATGAAATAAAATTGTTTTATTGGGAATTGAACCGCGACATATCGCGCAAAAGCTGGTTCTCTTGCCACTGCGCCAGCAACTAACATGATTAAACAGCCAATGATTACTACAAATTATTGTTTCACTATTTTTTTTAGTATTTGCGCTCCATTGAACTCTATTTCATAGCAAAGCTACCCTAAACCAAAATCTAAAATACATCGTTAAGCACCCGCCATCTCATCAGACGTAACTTTACAAAATCAATTACATACAACCAAGTGATTTGATTACAAAATTACAACACGTATTGAAAACCGCATAATACCAGTTCAAACCAAATTAATTTAGATAAAACCAGTTCAAACCGGTTCTATTTGGACCACAATGTATGTCAAATATTGTTTTTGTTGTGTTTAATTTTATTGCAATGTTATATTGATTACCTTTTCAATTAAAACTATTGTTGTTTTGTTATTTGTGTTAATTTTGTCTTTAAATTAATAGGTAGCGGTCTTATAGACAAGCGATCTTGTGGTGTAATGAATCTTGGGCAGGAAAATATCGGATTATCAGAAATTGATGTCTTTGTAGTGAAATGTCCCTTCAAAATGGTAATTGAAATTTGAGATATACAAAACAAACTATTAAACAGAATGAGAAGGTAAAAATGTTCAGCTGAACTGAAGAGTGTGACTTTTTTGAGTCGGTAAGATACAATTCACTAAAGTATTCCAAATTGTGGTCAGTTTATACTGAATAACGCTGTATTTTTGATATTAGGATGGCTTACAAAAAACAAGAAAGTATAGTTTTAATGACTGCACGGTTGGCGCGGTGGCTGGGCAACTGGCAACTGCGCAACGTGTCGCGGGTTAGATTCCCACACGGAACAACTTTTTATGTGATCCACAGATTGTTGTTCCGGGTCTGCATGTCATGTGTATGTGAATGACTGCTCCCGCCTGGGTGAGGCGGGAGGGAGTGTCAGACTCTTACTGAGTAAAAACCACCCTGTTCCCTCTCCTGCATGTCAAGCCGGAGCCCCGGTAGCCCGTTAGGTTCTCCGTGACTCCAAAATCTTAGTATGGGGCAATGTTTTTTACCAAAAAAATCAACCTTAAAATATATTTTAAACTTCCATCCAACTACACTACATCAAAGCTCAAACATTTCCAACAAATTAAACATCAGATCGTACATAAAACGCAACAAAGTAACTGACCACAATCATCTCCATTACCATGCAAACGTTTCCGAGTTTACAGCTTAACACAGACATACCGACTATAAAACTTTGATAGTCCGCGACGAATCGCTGTGAATTCGCGAATCGTAAACATTTACGACTTAGAAGTATGAGATTAAGTCTACTACACCATGTGATGGTGTAGTAGACTATATTGACTATCTCTACTCTTTTTGTGTGTGGTTTTAACTGATTAAAGGCTGAAAAAGATTTGAAATAATCTTTATACATATACCTACTTAAAAGTGTTTTTTTGTACTTAATAGTATTAATATTTTAAATACAAATAACTAAAACTAAAATATTTACACTTAATAAAATAAACGCTTAAGGCTGAAATGAATAATCGATTAAAACTTTTATTAATCAAATTAAACTAAATGAAATTAAGAAATAATAATAATGTGAAATCTACAGGATTTCCGTCAAATATCAAGAAATTTTGAGTTAATATCGTTTTTAAATTTCAGCCATAAGTGACTACATATTTAAAGGAATATAGATTCATCCCCGCATTGTTTTGGGGGTGTAATAACCCGATTAATGGATTAGACATTTGACAAAGTCTGAACAGCAGCGCTCTCTGAAACACCTGATCTTCTTAAACTATGATTTTCAACCCAACTGCCAAACGTGGCGATCATGGAAAACCTCTTTTTTTGTAGTCGAGGCCCACAATCCAACATAGGCCTGTAATAGACTGATGATTTTTTTTATGGGATAAGCCGGTAAACCAGCAGATGGATCACCTGATGGTAAGCAATGGGCGTCGCCCATGGGCACCTGGAACACCAGAGGAGTGGAACACAAGTGCGTTACCGGCGTTTTGGGATTAGGAATTTGAGGATTGTTGGGGATTCAGGGATTGGGGAAAGGGGGGGAATTGATGTAAAACATTTACGACTTGGATTTAGATTAAGTTCTAAATGAGTAGATCCCAATAGGGATCGAAGGACCAAGTTATATTAGTCACGAACCTAATGTATGTGGTAATTTCCCAATGGATCTTGACCTCTCATTATGTGGTCCTTTTTGTACACATGGGACCACATCGAACTATAAAAAACCAATTTATCATGGTCTGGCATTGTATGGATCTTTCCGCACATTTGACGGTCAGTTTATACTGTTTCAGTGCAGCTTAATGTGAAACTGTATTCTTTAAATAAACATATACTGGTTAGTTCGGGGACGTTTTTATGAGTGATATTGTTGTATGTTATCTAAGGATTAGTTTGTTCTGCTGCTATTAAACAATGAATTATCTGGTAAATGTTTCTATCTGTAGTTAAAGTTTCTCATAATTAAATATGTAATGAATCTCAAAGAGCATGATAAAATAAATCTTTTTAAAATTATGACAGCCTAAATCTTAAATTCCCATTGAAAATTTTTTGTAGTTATTTATTTAAACTGCGAACATTATAGTTATGCATATCCCATACCCCTCGCTTATTCCATACACACACACACACACACAAACTAAGTATTAAGTAATACTGCGAGAGAAACTCCTGAATGGTGTTAACCCTGGTTTTAACTAAGTTTTACTTTTCTTTTGTTTGTGTTTTATTGTTGTATCAGTTACTGTTATTGGATTTTTATGCCGTTGTGACTGTTAAAAATAAATAAATTAACAAGAAATTCCATTTTACACAGACAAATATTACCACTTCATAATTTCAAATAAATAAATCAAATATCGAAGTATCATCAAAACTCACTAAACCAATTCAACTGCAACATTTATCTACAACATAAAGTCTGACAGTACTCTAACTACTATAAACAACATGCAACTACTATGTAGTGAGTCGTTTCATCAATAATACGAGATACCTACATTGTTTAATACGAGGATAGTAAAACAAAGCATACATTGTTGCGTGTTTAAAAACGTTGAATGTCGAATTTATATTCCTTAAAAGGATATAAGAGTGTTTTTGCAACAACATAAAAATGTGAAATGAAAATTACATTGTCTTTTATACATAATTGGTTCAAGTATGGTCTGGTAGGTGGCTAACTTTTGTAATAGGAATTGGGAATTATCGAATAAATAAGAATTAGTGTTCACTCTTTTAAATTAAAAATGCGGAGGCAGTAACCCAGAGGCGTCCGGTAACCTCACTTATACGACGTGAAACAACACAAGCGTTAAGCAACAAAAATTTTGAAACTGGAAAACTTAAGGAATATTAGATTTTCTCCCTAAAGTAACAAACTCAAAAAGACTGGCAACGCATTTGTACCACTACTGGTGTAAAAAAAAAATAGATAATGTACTACTGATCCGATATTCAGTTAGATACCAAAAGTTCATACCCAACAGACAATGACTGCTATCGCGAAGGACACACCGGGCGTCGGGGATCGCGAGACGATCTCCGGCCACCATAAGCGCGGGCCTGCGGACGGCGAGCATGGGTGGCTCCCCGTCCGACCAGAAACAGACCCGAACGTTCCGCGCGCGCCTCAAAGAACCATCAGACCACCACAGATGGGGCCCAATGCTGATGCCGATTCGGAGTCGCGGAGAACCTAACGGGTAACCGGGGCTCCGGCTCGACGTGCAGGAGAAGGAACGGGGTGGTTTTTAGTCAGTAAGAGTCTGACACTCCCTCCCGCCTCACCCAGGCGGGAGCAGTTATTCGATGATTTTCCCCCCTTAAAAAAAAGGCAATGACTGAACCAACTAAACCAGTCAACGTACTACCTAGAAGTTTAAAAAGATAATATAAATTTTACTACTAGCTGACTTAGCAAGCAGAGGATCCAATATTATTTGCTTTAATTCACAAAAAGCTTTGGGACTGCAATTTTTCTACAATTTATCTAACCCCCGTCTGTTGCAACTTTGCTCGGTGCTACTTTTTACTATAAGACCAAATTGGATCGAAGGACCAAATCAATTGGGTAGTATTTTTCCTTTGTTTTCGGAATTAGTTTCTTTCTTCTGGTTTGTAGGAGTTTTTTAGCTTTGGAATTTGATGTAAAGAACTCTGTGTAAAAATGGACTGGGATATCCGATCTATGGCATTAAGCTCGTCCTTTAAGGGGACAAAAGATTGATAACATATTTTTACTGTGGAAAAAGGAGTCTACATTTTTTTACATATATTTTTACGTTTTCAGTTTTTTTTTCTATTTTAGTAAGATACAAATTCAACAAAAGCATAAAACTGTTTCCATCCATTTTTAATTTTTGTTTTAGATGATGAGTCGGTTAACGAATATACAGATCACCTGGTAAGCAACACCAGAGGCGTCACATACTTGTGACGTTACTGGCCTTTTAGGGATTAGGAATTTGAGGAATATTTGGGATTGAGATTGGGAAGATTGGGGAAATTGGGCCTCAGGTAACTTTACTCATACAACGAAACACAACGCAAGCGTTGTTTCACGTCGGTTTTCTGTAAGGTCGTGGTATCACT